TAATAAAAAAGAGAAATTAGCATGGGTCTGGTATTAGAAGCAGAAATGGGGGGGGGGCGTAATTTGAATTAGCCAAGCCCAATCCACAAAGGCCCAGGAGCTAAAAAAAAACCCCCTTGAAGAGATGCCCTGAGTCCAAATTCGACGTTAGTTTTTGCTAAAGGTCTCTGAATTTTGCGTTTCGAAGCCAAGCTTTTGATCGGGGTTGAGAATGGCATCTCATGAACCAGGCCTCAAAACTTACATGCTTCACGTCCAACCTGCTCTATATACGACTACAAACATGTATGCAAACGTCAAATGGATTAATAAATGCAGATTAACGAGATTAGATTTAAATAAAATATACCAAATGGTGCAACTTGTATGGCCGACTCGGGCGCGCTTCAGGCCAAGGTGAGGGATGGAAATGAATCCCGGGGATCTCAGGAGTGCAAAGATGGCACGAGATTGGATGGAGGAAGGCTGGAAATCAGGTTTTAAATTTTCACAACCTTTGAACAATTTTGAGAATTCTGAGAGCTTTTTCCAAGTGATGATTTCGTGTCCTTGGATTATGGTTGGCTTGTATATTTATAGAGGAATAGAAATGTGAATAAACATGGCAAGAATCCATGCATTAATCATGGTTTTGAAAACAAAAATCAAGACTTTGAAGAATTGGCATATTTGATGATTTCTTGCCCTTCTTGTCATACACTGAACTTGGTCTTTTTCCTCATGCCTTGCACGAATTATAAGGCCTAATATCAACCCAAATCATTAGCCTATGTGTCCATACTTTTGTGTTTATCTTTTGGAGATGATTTTGGACTTTTTAGAAATCTCAAGATGTCCCCTACAATCTCTATATTTACCATTTTTGCATTTGGAGAAATTATCTTGATATAACTTCTCTTGACAAAGAATGCCTTTTTGTTGACTTTCAAAAAGATCTGTAATGCATTGGCTCATATCTTTCCAATGATGTATTTTTTGAACTTAAGGATAAAAGAAAAGTTGCAGGGAATTGAATTTTGTTCACAATGAGCTTTGGCTGGGGAAAAGTTGATGAAGCATGTAAAAGTTATGCCTAGTCAAAGTTCAGTTGACTTCTGCTGAGGAAACCCTAATTTGACAAATCTTGACTTTTGATGATCTGGGGATTTTCCTTGGGGAATCATGATCAACCCTTGATGAAATGATGAATATCACTTAAAAATATTGATGTTGACCAAAAATCTTGAAGTTTGACTGTATGTTGACCATAGTTGACTTTTTTATCAATATAGTTGATTTTTAAGCATCTGAGCCATTGACTGAGCAAACTTGTGATGTAGGGCTTGAAACTTGACATGAGCCTTGTTGAGGACCTATGAAGAAACATTGGATCCACTTGATACATTTTCAGACCAAATTTCCTTGAGAAACTCTAAACCTTAGTTGCAGGCTTTTGGTCTATGAGGTGCATCTTGACTAGTCAACCCTTGGGTGCCTTGGCCATTTGAAGAGCCTTGAAAGAATGCTTTAAAGAAAAATGGGAGGAAAAATTTTGGGGTACAACAATGCACAAAGAAACACAAAGTGTGCTTTATGATCTCCCACAAAGTTTGAACCCAAAAGGTAGAGGTTATGAGGATACCATGCTTGTGATCTTGATGAGATACAAATGATATGATAGGTGGAATCTTAGGGGTAAAAATTAAGGTATAACAGATTCCCCTATTTAAGTTTCTTCTATTTGGAGATATAAATATTGGAATTTTTCGTATCTACGGGATTGAAGATACTTAAATACAAAAGACTTGACTTTTATCCCTAAGATGTCACACGATGCTTATGATATGAATGCAAATGATCGAACTCCACGAGGAATATGATGCGGGAGACAGACTCTATGGGGAATTACGACTCTAATTTTGCTGGAGAAAATAAACTTGAAGGGAATCCGATAGGGAGACATAACTCATTGGGGAACGACACAACATCATGAGGGTATATGGTGGGAATAACCTAAAACATAGCCAGGAAGAAGTTCGACAGGAAGAAGTCAGAGGTGAAGCATGCCCAAGCAGACCTCAAAGAACAAGGCGCATGTCTGCAAGGTTGTAGGATTGTGTTATTACATCAAATGATATGGTCGACAATAAAGGTGAGTTGGTACACTATGATTTATATGCATATGTCGAACTAGTCAATGCAGTTGAGGCATTAAAGGATTCGAAGTGGTAGAAAGCAATGAATGAGGGGTTAAAGTCTATCGAAGTCAACAACATTTGCTTACTTGTTGAATTGCCTCAAGGCAAGAAGGAAATCGATGTGAAGTGGGTATACAAGCTGAAGTTGAATCCCAAGGGGGAAGTAACTCGACACAAGGAAAGACTTGTGGCGAAAAGATTTCTTCAAAAATAAGGAATCGACTTTGATGAATTTTTTTCACATGTTACTAGAATCAAAATAATCAGGTTGGTTGTTGGTCTATCAAACATGAGCAGTTGGCACATGTTTCAGATGAATGTGAAATGTGTATTCCTAAATGACCCCTTAGATGAAGAATTTTATGTTGCACAACCTGTTGGGTTTGTGAAAGAAGGAAGAGAAAGAAAGGTGTACAGGCTGCATAAAGCTTTGTATGGACTTAAACAAGCTCCAAGAGCTTGGAATAAGAAGATTGATAGTTTTCTAAAGGAGAAGGAATTTGTGAAGTGCACAATTGAACCTGGAGTATATGTAAGAATAAGCAAGAGTGAATGGTTTATACTATGTCTCTATGTCGATGACTTGTTGATAACAGGTAGCTACAAGAAAGCGACCGAAGACGCCAGGTATGGTCTTAGCAAGGAATTCAAAATGTCTGATCAGGGCGACATTTTATATTTCCTTGACATCAAATTCTAAAATAGTAGTAGAGGATTGATGATACATCAAAGAAGATATGCAAGTGACATAATCAAGATATTTGAGATGGAAGAATGAAACTCGACTTCAACACCTGCTGAACCAAGACTACAATTGTCGAAAGACTCGAAAAAAGATGATGTCGACCCAACACAGTCCAAAAGACTTATTGGGTCATTAAGGTACTTTGTCACACAAGCCCTGATCTAACATATATTGTAGGTATGGTGAGTAGATTCATGCAGAAGCCAAATGTATCACACCTAGCAGTGACGAAGAGGATACTAAGTTATCTGAAAGGAATACTCGATTATGGTATTCTGTTTCCTGCAGCTGATGAATGAAAAGAATATAAGTTAGTGGGTTACACCGACTTAAGTTGGTATAGTGATATTGAGGATAGAAAATCCACAGATGGACATGTGTCTATGCTAGGTGGTGCACCAGTTGCTTGAAGTTTGAGAAAAAAACCAGCAATAGCACTATTGGCGTGTGAAGTAGAGTACATAGTTGTGTCTCTTTGTGCATGTCGAGCAACGTGGATGGTGAATTTGGTTGAAGAAATAACAGGGAAGGATCATGGAGAAATTACCATGAATATCGATAGCATGTCATCTATCAATTTGGCAAACAATTTGACAGCACATGGCATAAGTAAGCACATCAAAATGAGGTTCCATTATCTTCGAAAGCAGGTAGCAGAAGCGAAGCTGAACTTGAAATATTGCAGAACTGAGAATCAGATTGCAAACATCATGACGAAATGAGTATAAGTCAAAGTGTTCAAGAAATTAAGATATATGATGAATGTAGATAGCTTAGACACAATGAATTAGGTGGTGTGTTGAGATTGTAATTCCTTGTGTTGAAACAGGTTTGCTTGAAAGATACAAGTGTGTGTCGAAATTAGCCTTGTGTGTGTATCGAAATGTCGAAGGAGTTACCTCGATAGAATTTCGACTTAGACCTATTTTAATAGTGTTAGTTGAATTATGTATTTTGAGCTTTTGTGTTTTGAACTTTTACCTAGGGAATAAGCTAACCTAAAACTATAAATATAGGGAGTAACCTCCATTATTGTAACACACATTGAATTTGCACTTGCAAAAGAATAAATCATAAGTTTGTGAGGAGAGAGAAACTATGCATAAAATATTCTTCTTCTTCCCCTATTTTGTTCAAACCCTAATCTTCTTCTTTCATTAACAATTGCTGCGCAAAATCATCTTGCAATCAAGGTTGGTTGAATCACCCAAGTGAAGATTGAAGAACAAGGGATTTCGATCGGTGTGATTGAATCTTGTTCATCAAAATTGATTTGAAATTCTCCATAAATTTAGTATAATTTTCAACACTAAATTCGTTATTAATTAGACGAAAATGACTAACATAATCCATTTTTCTAGATTTAAGACATTAAAATGAACCTTTTAAAATTAAGAGACTATAATAAACCTCAAAATTAAAATACATAACTAAAAATGTATTAAACCTAATTTTAAATTATTTTCTAAAATAATTATTAGAAGCCACGTGTTGATTATTCATTAACTACTAAAATGCCTCGAATTATGGATTCATTACACAAAATGAAGTTATGGATATTATGGGACCCCATGTTGATAAATTTACTGTACTATATTTTAGAGTCATATAGTTCTTGTTGTACAAGGAAAGGAAAAGCTAGCGAGATAGTGAAAGTTGAAAGGGACTTAGGGAGCTTGGTGGGGCAAAGTGTTTGGTTCAGTTTCAACGTGAAAATGTCTGTGAAACACAACACAAAAGTAACTTAATGCGAAAATTGAGAACCAACCAGCGCCTTTAATCAGAATATTCATCTATTTATAATCTTAATAAAAATATTTAACATTGTTTACTATTAGCAATAACTAATACTTGCATAAGCAAGAAGGTACATATGTATATAGTTTCCTTTTTCTAATGAGAAGGAGTACTTATACTCAAAAAGTGTACAACATTTATATCATATTCAATAGTATTAACTAATAGGGTTCTATATAAGAAAAATCTGACAGTTAACACCTGAAGACAGAAAAGTAGAAACAAAGTAAAAAACACAATCGCAAACTACTTAATTACTTGAACCACAGAGAAAGAGGTTTTTAGACGAAGAACATTATGTTTTCCGTATCAGGATGCAACTTGGCAAACACCTCATCATTTCTCATCGCTGACTTCCTTGCTTCATAGTATAGTCTTCCTCTATATGCAGCAAGGTCAGCATAGTACACTGGAGGGACTAAAGATACAGGTCTAGTGCACCTTGCAAAGGTAAAGCATAGATTATATATCAGTTTCTGCAAATCATCAGAACTAAACTTGTTCTCGTCCCACAACACATGGTAGTGTGTTGGTTTGCTTGTACCTAGGCTTCCATTGTGGCTACAAAGGTAAAAATCAAATTCAAAAGGATGTACCACATTTGTGTCTACAACTGTTCCAGGGAACACGTTGCCGGTACAAACCCCATTTGCATCTACAGGAAACAATCGAGTTTGATGTCGCTTTTGAGCTACAATAAGAGTGATACTTGGAAAGTAATTTATACTCTCAAATGCTGTCTTCAAATCTTTCAACTCCTCTGTAAGAACCATGTGAAACTGGCTTTCACTTACACCATCACGAAAGATAACAATTTTTTCGGGCCTGGCTTTGTTCAACTTTGCATAATGTGTGACAAGATCAAGGCAAACATCTCCAAAATTCAAAATCTTCTCCATTCGATGCGCTTGAGCAAGAACTCGTGCTGCATAGCGATTTGCAGCTGGCCAATTAACTGTGGCAACCACGGCAACAATAGATGGACTTTCTTTGTCCTGAGAACCTGGATGATTGACATCAGCCCCTAAGAACATAACATGCCTGTCATTCTCAAAGTGTGGGATCCTATTAAGGAGTTCTACATTACTGCCTCCAATTTTCGCATTGATTTTTAAAGCAAGATTTGTTAAATATTGGTCTTTCCCTTTATTAGCATTAGGAGATAAGCAGCATTGTGTCACTATGCCAACCTTGGTCTCTGCAATCCACTTGAGGCGCTTGTAACCTTCAACCCTTTTGTCCATCACACAAAGAAGAAACTGCAGCCGCGGTTGACGATTTATTCGCTCAAGTAATTTAGATAGTGAATTGTAATCCCCAAGTTTCTTCATTTCGGATTCCTCATAAAAAACAGGATCCTTCATGTCAATTCCCAACATGTTGTACTTTATCTTAAGATCTTTTACAAACTGATCATGATTAAATTTGTGGTTAGATCCCTGGCTGGTAAAATCAAGGATGCCCCAATGCTCAACAGATTTTCCATCTACCATTGACCTTCCAACTAAATTCCAATGACATTTCTCCAGCCTCAGTTCCATAGTCCCACTCCTTCCATTTGGATCACCTAACTTCAATATTGGAGGCTCAATTACGCGTCCAGTCACATTTGTCATGGAAGGGATGACATCCATTCCAAAATCCTGAAGAATATCACCGCTGTCAAAAAAAAGATTCTGTGAGGCTCTGATTATAAAATTCACAAAGTATAAGTTCGAAAATGCATTGTAATATAACTATATTCATCTTACCCGTGCGGTCCAACAGGAGACGCCATCATCAATTCTATTGAAGATTTTCTATCCCTTGGACTAGCCACAGACATATTTTTCAACTTCGTGGAAGCAAAGAAATCCAGACCGTCTGTGGGATACCTCTGACCCTCGACCAAGACGCAGAGCTCCATAGGCATGTAATTAGTCTTTCTTCCACGAAAAATCAAACAAGGAATATTTTTATGTTCAATATTTAAGGAGTGTTTTTCTTCAAAGTAGTCAGTAAGATATTTGCTGATAGGGGGGTTTTGGCCCTCTTGGTCTAAACAAAGGAAAGTGATATCGCGTGTTTTTTTCTGTGTTAACCCAGCAATGGTGTATTTTTGTTTGGTTAACCTATGAGTGACATTTACTTTCAATCCAACGAGTTCCTTCTCGACAACTTTCCTAAATTTCTCAAACTGATTCAAATTGAGATTATTTATACGCTCATGGAGGAAATCCAGGACTAGCATTTTCTTTGGAAAAGGCAAAACTGAATAGTCAAGACACAAAGATAGACCCTGAGCTGTGGTCTTGAGACTATGATGAAACCCTCCAATTGCAATTATTCCGCCTGTGAGATCCATCTCTTTCATGGTAGGATTGGTGGGAAAGAAACGTCGTCCTAAAGCAACCGTGCACCTTGCTGGATTCTCTTTTACCACTAAGTCCATTCCCTGTAAAATATCCCTCGGAATGGAATATGCTCTGCCCTTAATGTAATCTCTCAACATGCGAAGCTCGAGTTTGTTCACCAGCCTTATAGTAACTGTATAAGAAACAGTTCTTTCACCTTCTCCTCTTGAGATCTCCACAGTAAAAGTTTCTTCAGGCAACTCACCAGCACTATAGATGTTTGTTCCTCCATCATAAGCAGTCATCAATAAAAGCGGTCTCTCAGAAAGCAATTTGTCTCTGATCAAAGATAAATCAAACTTGGAAATCTTCTTTGGAGGCGAAGAATTATTTCCGAGCGGAAAAGTAGGCTTCACAGCGATATCGTAGTGCATGATAGTTCTTTCTGGTTTGTAGGTAACCGGAAAATGATTCACATGAAGTTTGCATCTGCGAATACACTCCGTCCCGCCCTTGTCAGGCCGGTGTATCGGTCTAGTTGTTGGACTTTCCCCTGGCTGCTCTTTTACTTTCAGAGATCCAATATCTACACGAAAATCGTCTTCCCTCATTCGATGTAATCATATAAGTTGATATTTCGACAATTTGTCTCACAAAAAATGTAATTAGATCAAGATTAATACCTGGAAGTGGATGAGTTTGGACTTGGGGTTGGGGTTGAAGATTGGTGTGCTTAGTGACAGGAAGAGGAGGAGTTGAAGATGAACTTGTGTTGGTGAAGGAGGGAGATACATTTGGCCTTCGCAACCAACAGTTTTGTGATTGGGATGTTGTCCTTCCCCCGCCACCACCACCTGCACCGGTTTGTTCTTGCTGATGAAGCTCTCTTCCTCTGCCACCACCACCGGTCGTTTCTTGTCGCTGATGAAACTCTCTTCCTCTGCCGCCGCCACCACCGGCACTGGTTTCTTGTTGCCGGTGAAACTCTCTTCCTCTGCCGCCGCCACCGGCACTGGTTTCTTGTTGCTGATGAGACTCTCTTCCTCTTCCGCCACCACCCGCACTGGTTTCTTGTCGCTGATGAAACTCTCTTCCTCTGCCGCCGCCGCCGCCGCCACCGGCACTGGTTTCTTGTCGCTGATGAAACTCTCTTCCTCTGCCACCACCGGTACTCGTTTCTTGTCGCTGATGAAACTCTCTTCCTCTGCCACCACCGGTACTCGTTTCTTGTTCCTGATGAAACTCTCTTCCCCTTCCTCTTCCGCCACCATTATCGAAACTGGTTTCTTGATGCTGGTAAAATTCCCTTCCTCTTCCTCTACCACCAACACCGGAACTTGATGGTTGTTGCCGATGAAACTCTCTTCCTCTACCACGACCATTACCACCACCGCCACGGTTACCGTTACGGCCACCGGTGGTGTTTCTATAACCACCTCCTTCCATTTAGATGAAATTAGAAATTGGAGAAATTCGGAGTAAAATGAACCAAAAATAAATGAATGTAACTTCGTAGCTGCAACAATCTGAACTAGTTTATTTATAGATACGTGTTAGAATTCAAATACTTTTTTTGGGATGCAAGTTAGAATTTAATTGATTAAAGATGTAATATACAAACATCGTAGCCTATTTTTTTTTTCCCTTCTCTTTTGCCCTTCAAAACTGTTTAGAAGTTACAGAAAGAAGATAACTACTCCCTCCATTTTATGAAATAAAACATAACTACTCCCTCCATTTTATATTAGAATATTATACACAATTAAAAATAGTTAATTATTTAAAAAGAAAACTGATTTGATATATTAAATAGATGGAATAAGATGAAATGGATTGGAATAAAATAAAATTATATTTTATTATTTAGATTGATTAAAAAAATGAAATAAAGTGATATCGAATAGAATACACTCTATTATTTTCTATTATTTTTTGTACTTTTTTATTTGAACAGAATAATAAAATAATTGTATAATCTATCCAAACAATAGAATTATATTTTTATTACACTCTATTATATTTTGGTCCGTTTTATTTTATTATGCTCTATTCCACTATATTCTTTTTTACGTATTTAAATATAACCTAACTTCGTATTATAATATTTTTGTCATCGATTTTTTTTTAATTAATTTATAATATTTAATGATTATTAACTAATCCCTAGTTTTCATTTTAAGGTTTTGATATTTATTAATTTTTTTATATATATTTTAATTTATAATCATATAAACTTTCAAATTATCCTAACAAAAAATTATATAAAATTTTTAAATCAACTTTTGATATTTTTTTATATATTCTTAATGTGATTTTGTTGTTAATTAATTCAATTTACACAGTTAAGTTAGAGGGTTACTTGTAGTTTTTTTTATAAGCGCCACTTGGCAGTTATAATATGAGTTTAATTGCTATGTGTTATTATTGTAATTTTTTATATATTATCAATACATCAATTATAATATTTAAAAAAATTAAAATTAAAATTAAATATTTTCAGTAAATTAACGGTTGTGATTAATTGATAGTGTAAAATTTCTTTACACCATCAATATATTCTAATTAAATTCTTATAACATTAATTTTTTATGATAAATAGTGACTATTATATAGAATTTTAAATTAATTTTTATTATTTCTTTATATATTCTGTTCTGGACTGGACCAGCTTTTGCCCACCGTTGGGGAGGCTCGGTCCACTGCCTCTGTTAAAGGCTCAAAGTTGCAGCTCAACATAATGGTTGTTGGACATTTCCCCACGTATCTGCTAAGAAGACGTTGTCCACGTGTCCAAACCGTCATCATACTGTCCTCCGGGAATAACGGGTCCAGTACCTACTTTTTCGGGGTAGTTGATCAGGGAGGAAATCACGTGTTGGATCCCATACATATGTAAACCCTGGAAGTCTTCCTTGTTGGGTCTCATTATGGCCCATCATTGAAGACATTGGCCCAATGTTGGGGGCTATAAATACCCTCTCATTCGAGAGGGTCAGGTATTCATTCTTTAACTCACATACTCATACTTGTTAGCACTCTCTCTGAATCTTACTTTAACATCAGAGTGTCTTGCAGGTATCTCCTCACTTTACATCAAATTGTTGCTCGATAAAAAGCTCGAAGACCTTGACAGTCCCTTCTGGCCAGGTACAATCATATTCTTAATTGACGGTGATTTTGTTGTTAGTTACAATAATTCAATTTACAAAAGAGTGTTGCTATCTTAACATAGTTTTTTTGCTTTCGCATTCTCATTCTAAGAAAAAGAATCCTAATAATCTAGAGTTTGTGTTAGGAAGGTACATATATTGGTCAAGCGTTGTTTCTGTCGAATATCTACACCTTATTTACATGCATGATATCTACATTGTAAAATTTTCAAAGCATGTTAACCGAGACACAAAAATCAAAGCATAAAAACAATTATTAAAAAAACAAAATGTATATCTACTCGTATAGTGTCATTCTAGTAATTCTCTTTAGAAAATTAGTTAGATGGTTACTCGGTAGTTATACAATTAACTTTGTATGATAGATATATGAACTTATTTTGTATGTTAGTTACATACACGCCTTATACCATCAATCAATGCAATACAAATTATACTTCATCACTTTTTTCTTTCTCATTTTTTTAGAGCAAGCAAATTCTTGGCTTCTTGCTTAAAAGATTTGGTATCACATCCACTTTTAAATTTGTGTAGAACAAGTATATTTAAGATTTTTTTTTAAATTATTATCGGTCAATTAAAGATGATTGGGATAGTAGTTTTCCAAGCGCACTACCAATTTTTTATGGCAAAAATTGAGACAGATGACACAAATATATGAAGGCTTTGTTTGAATATCGATACACTTAAAGTGGTTGCTAATTGAGTTCAAGAACTCCTTACAAATGCAACAGAAGCATAGAAGAATGCTCTCATAAAGAAGAGAAAAAAGAAAAATTACAAGGCGTTGTATTCGATAAAAACAATAGTAGATACTACAAGTTTTTAAAATCTCTCGTACAGAGAGTGCAAAGAAGACACGTGACATTTTGATCAAATATTATGAAGGTGGCAAGTGAAGAGTTTGAAAATGTAATCTCTAATAAAAAAATATGAATTACTATAAATGAAGGAGAATGAGACACTTGCAACCTATGCATCAAAGATTGAAGACTTGGTACACATGATGAAAATTTGTGGTGAATTGATGGCTGAAAAAATGCTAATTGAAAGGGTAATGAGAACACTCACTTCTCATTTTGATCATGTAATAATTTTTATACAAGAATCTGACACCTTAGTAACTTGAAGATGGAGGATCTCATAGGGTTACTAGAAGCACATGACTTGAGGATTCTTTAAATGGTGATTTAAAGATGCGTAAAGGAAAGAAGATCTGAGAAAACTTTAAGAAGTATGCATGATCAAGCTCATATAAGACTAAGCTTGATGGTAAACACCGATCCTTAAAGAATGGAGGAGGGACATCAAACTTAATACAACAAAAGGCTCAAAGTAAGAACAATAAGCATATCTATTACTATAACTCTGAAAAAATTGAGTTATTATGCCTCAAATTAATGATACAACAAGGTAAAGGACAAGGGTCAAGCATTCATTTCTAGATATAGGCTTCTTAAACCATATAATTGGTCACAAGAAGTGGTTGGTCAAGATGATACAAATGTTTAATATGGAAGAAATGCAGCTCTGTAGCAAACCTATTGAAGAAAATATCAAACTAGAGAAAAAAGACAAAGAATAAAATATCAATTTCATAATCTTCAAGCAGATTGTTGGTTCACCAAGATACCTCTACAACAATATACTAGATATTTGCTTTGATGTTAGCTTGGTGAATATGTTTATGGATGATCCAAGAAGAACTCACATGACTGCATCAAGAATGGTCTTGAGGTATTTTAGGGGCACAATGAACTATGGAAATTTGTTATTAATTTATGCATAGATCATATCATATTCATATGTAGAATGATGTGGTGATAAAGTTGATAGGATAAACACTACATGATACTACTTTAAGTTCCCCGATTCACCATTTTATTGGTGCTCAATGAAATAATTAGTTGTGTCTCTTCCGTCATGTTAATCACAGTACATATCAGGGTCTTATGATGTATGTCCAGACATTTGGTGGAATCATCCCTAAAGGAGTTGAAGATTGAAGTCGAGAAATAAATCAAGTTGCAAAATGATAACAAGTTAGTTATCAATCTAGAAAATAATCCATTTTTGCATGATAGGAGCAAACATATCAAGGCAATGTTCCATTTTTTGAGGTAGCAGATCAATCAAAGAAAGCTAGAGGTTGCACAATGAAATACAACTACACAAGTTGCAAATGTGTTAACCAAAGAGTCGAAGACAAACATATTTCTAAGTTAAAAAAACTTATTACGAGTGTTTTCTATCAAATGAATGATATATGATTTATTTAAGAAAGCTTGTTATTTAATTCAATTTAATAAGTTGGTTAGAAGGTTAGTTGATATTTGTAATCAACTATTAATAAATGTGTAGGTTAGTTAGTCTTTATGCTAACATAAAAGGTGAAAGCACACTTTGTATAGTCAATCAATGCTATACATATTATGTTGGTGTGAGTTGTCTATTAATATCATATGAGCTATAATATTGAATATATTAATTAATTATTATTTAGCCTGATTTAGTTATAATTGGTCATAATTAGAAATAAGGTTTTAGATGTATATATAACCTATTCCTCTCTTGTAATATATACACAAAAATAATATGAAAAATATCATATCTGTTTTACATGGTATCAGAGTCTGATTATAGTTCTGACATGTAGTAACACCCTCCATTCTTCTTCCATGGCCGACTCAGATTCAATTTCTGATGATGCTACCTCGTCTTCTATTCTTGTTGAGTTGACAATGAAAATGACGAAATTTCTAAACCGTGCATCAACCCTTTCACAAACTAGTTATGACCATGCAGTGGCACTGATCGACATTAATTTAGATGGCAACAACTATCCCCTTTGGTCCCAGGTGGTCGAGAAGTATATCTCGGGAAAATACAATATGGGATATATCAATGGCAACCTTCTGCAACCTCCTCAAACATATCCTACCTTTCGACGTTGGCAGAATGAAAACATGATTGTTAAGGGATGGATAATCAACTTCATGGACTCTTCTCTAATCCTCAATTTAATTTGATCTCCACTGCTAAGCTAGTGTGGGATGCAATTGCAACCACATACTTCAATGGTGCGATACCTTGCAGGTGTATGAACTTAGACGATGGTTGACACGTCTTAAGCATGTCAGAGGTTCTCTTGAAAAATATTATAAAGATCTCCAAGGGATTTTGCGTGAGATCGATTTTCTTTGTCCAAATCTGATGACATCCCATGTTGATATCCAACACTACAATACCCTTGTTCAAGAAAAACGAGTGTATGTG